AAAAAAAAAAAAAAAAAAAAAAAAAAGTGAAAAACCAACACAGCCATCATTTTCTCTCTTAAATACCCTTCCTGGGGAGCCCTGGAATCTCAATGCAAAGGAGGAAGGCTAGGTTGGGCTGGACCTTGATTCTCTAAATCCCCAGAATGAAAGGAAAATGCAAGTGATCGACAAAGCTCCAAATGCCACCTGAGGTCATTCCTACCGCCTCAGTCTGTCCGCAGTTCACACGTGTGCCAGCAAGGAACCAGACCCCACACAGCCCAAGAACAGAACCTAGCAGCGTTCTGGGGTGATGGAGTCAGAACTGAAAGGAATCACAAAGCAGCTCCAAATAGTGACTAGGACTTAAGTAGGTGGGTAGGTGCATGATTGATGGATGATGATAGATAATGGAGATGGACAGATGGATGGATGGATGGACAGACAAATGAATGGATGGATGATAATGGGTGAATTGGATGGAAGATGGATGAACAGATGGATGAATGGATGGATGGATGGATGACAATGAGTGGATGGATGGATAGATGGATGCATGGATGATGGATGGATGGATGGATGGATGGATGGATGGATGGACAGATGTATGTATGGATGATGATAGATGGATGGATGGGTGATGATGAGATGGATGGATACATGAACATGTGATTGATCAACTGATTAATAGAATCTTTTTCTTTGAGACAGGGTCTCCCTGTATAGTCCAGACTGGTCTTAGACCTGCAATTCTCCTACTTCAATCTCTTGAGTGTCAGCATTACAGGTCTGTATTACCATAGCATGTCCAGTAACAGATTTTTAATCAACATTCATCCAAATGATGATGAGTTATGACCCATCAACATGCAACGGTTCTTGCAGTGTAGCTATCCAAAAGGATGGCCAAGGTATTTAAACACACAACCAAAAGTCCCAGGAAGTGCAAAGTTAATTCCCATAAACTACGCTTTAAAGCACTGGTATAGAGATGAAGCCTGCCATCCCAGCAGGTGGGAGGTTTATGGGTATGCCAATCTGGGCTACATAGCAAAACTCTGTCTCAAAAAAGAAGAGTGTTAGAATAAATGAAACTATGTGTTAGAATGAACAAAGAATGTAAAGACAGCTTTGACCTACAAGGTTTGGATGGTCTCTAGCAACTCAGAGAAACTATAACCCCAAGACCTAAAACTTGAACCATTACTTGGACCATGACCACACATGGGCCCGCAAGGGAGGACCTCACCAACTGCTATGGCACCATTACCTCTGGCTCAGCCTCCGGAACAAGCTGATAGAGTTCAGTCTGCATGAGTGGTCTCTCCTGAGGACCAGGAGTGCTGGGCAGGAGGGGGGCATCCTCCAAGTCCTCAGGCCCTTCCACCACAGGGCTCACTCCCGTCTCCATGACAACACATAGCTGGCTTAATCTGCTTCTCAGCAAAGACTATGAAGAAAACAAAGGGGACACAGGTGTGTTCTAAGTCTGGCAGGCTTTGAAGGCGTGGAACCAGCTAGAGAGCCAGACAGCTGACCTCAGTGAACCACACTAACGAGATCACACTATTCCCCACCAAAGCCGGGTCCTGAGCAGCTGTTGAAGGCCTCTGCCCTCGCTGCTTATATCTGATCATCACAGCCTGTGATAGGAGTGTCTATCCATGCACTGCAAGTGAATAAACTTCGAACCCGGCCTGAACCAGGTTCTAGCCAGCCAGGAGGAGGGTCCCACAGCAATCCTGACCTCAGGGTGTTGAGATCCCAGGAAAGGTGCTGGCCATCTTACCTCTTGGCTCCTCTTCATTTCTTGAACATGATCAGACAAAAACTGCACACAGTTCTCCAGGTCGAAGTAGACAAACCAGAGCTGTGGAGAGAAGCAGCAGTGGCCTGACCTTCAACTTCTAACCCTGAGTTTATCCTCCAGCTCCTGCTCTTCGTCCAGGGCCTATCCTTTTGACAGCCACCTGACATGGCCTTGCTGTCTGGCAGAAAGAGTATGACTGCAGCTCATTTGTATGGCTGGCAGGGGTAAAAATGGTGGTACTGGGGAATCGAACCCAAGATAGAATGCTAGGTGGGCACACTATCACTAAGCTACATGGTCAACGCCCGCTCTCCCCCACTCCCACCCACCCACCCCCGCTCCTGCAAAAAAATGGCTTTGCAAGCAAATTCAGAATATGTCCAACCATGAACAAAATGGCAAGAGCATGCCAGATAGATTCCAAACTCCCTTGGCCATCAAGTCCATTGAGGCAGTGGAATAGCATCTTCACCTTCAGTAGTATGGGTACCATTCTGTCTAAAATCCAAATATACAAGGGAGAAAGCCCTCACAAATGACATCTCCACCAATCAGAGCCAAATTCAAGTGTTCTCAATGGGAGGGGTGCAGGTAAGAAAGACATCCTGGTTGGTACCCCCAACCTCTCCTTCCACCTCAGCTTCAGTAGCCCCCAGGCCAGGTTATCCTTACTGGGCCCAAACCTTCCATACCCATTGAGATGCCTTGATGGTGCCACATACATGAGAATCAAGTTCTGCAGAAAAGTAGAATCCTGAGTCTAACATCTGTATCCACTACCTTGCTCCCTGATCAAGGCAACTGACCAATGAGGCCAAAAGTCACAGCCCTTGCCAGACAGTCTCTCCAGCCAGCTCACCCCCAACAATGATCTATCCACATACCCTTTTTAAAAGTCTTCTTACTTTGAAAAAAATCTTAAATATACACAGGAGATGAGAAATCTCCATCATCCTGCTTTAACAAACCACTTCATGCCCACCCCGGTTGACCGTCACCTCTCTCCTTGCCCATCACATTACCCAGCACCCCTGAGGATTCTGAAAGACCTCCAGACATTGCATCATCTCATTCCAAGATGCCATTGTGAAGCTGAAAGAAGCCCTGTCTGAAAAGATGTGTCCCTTCATTGGTTATCTGAATATCCACCGATTCAACTACACTCCAGGGTCCCTCCTGCATGTCAACTGATAGAGAAGACTTGGAAATGAATGAAGCTAGGAAGGAGCTGCAGACTCCAGAGATGCAAATGTGCCATTTGAACTGCCAGGAATCTTGTGCCAATATCCAAGGCAAGATAACTTTACATGTCACGCTACCCCAGGTGTGATCAGCTCCACAAAACTAGGGCCTGTATGTCCTCAGCCCCAGAGAACAGTCTGGCATGTGGAAGCTCTCAGCAAACATCTGCCAGATGTGTAGCAGGCACACCTCCTAGGTCCCCAGGGCACACACACTCTAGGCATCCCTGGGTTTCCCTGAAGCAAAGGGCTGTGGTCAGTGAGGCATATGTATGCCAAGGAAGCCTGAGCTGAACCCCAGCTCTGCTTCCGAGCCATGCAGGTTGTGGCCCTTCCCCAGGTCTTGCTATCTTCTGTTGTAGACTAATAATAAAGTGTACCCCTGCCCCACAAAAAGGGAGGTGAGAGCTCTCCAGGATTAAAGATAAAATACACAACTGCACTGAGCACTGAGCACTGAGCAGAGGAATCCAGGATCAAATCCATCCTCAGCCATGTTCCATGCGTGACTTCCTACTTTAAGATCTCCCTACTGAGCATCACCCAGCCTCTCCAGCCTCATCTCTCCTGCAATGTCACTTGGCTACAGCCCTGGGCCACCATAAGCTTTCGCTGCCCCTTCAAAACCACTGTGACTATATGCCTGTCACCCTCACGGGTGTGCAGGCTCATACTGGACAGGGACTCTGCAGGGACCTTCATACTTACAGTACCCAATCGCGGGGTTCAGCACAGAGGAGTCCTGAGGAAGACATGGGAACTGGGGGGGGGGTGACCCACTCACAGCAGCACAGCAGACACTGGACCTCACAGTGCAGGCCACCAGGAGAAGTCACTCTGAGACACAGTACCTGGATCACACTCTGGCAGCCTTCCACTGTGTCTGTCACCCCCAGCAGCACCCGGTGTCTCAGAAGGGCTCCATTGACGGCCACCAGCCTCAGGTCTGTGTTAGTGTTAGCCTAAAAGACAAGCACCAGGCCCAAGGCTGACCTCCAAGGAGGTTTCCAAGGAGCTCCTCAGCCCTGGACGTCACAGCTGTCCCTCTCCCAGGGGCCACACTTCAATCTTGACACTCCAACAACTCTATTTTCCCCCAAAAGTGAATTCAGGGTGAGAGAGTTTGGACTGAAGCCTAGCTCTGCTGCTTCCTGGCTATACTGCCCATGTCCCTCCATTGAGTCTCCCTGTCTTAGGTTGCAGATTAAGAAAAAAGCACAGCTCTGCCTCCTAGGAGTGAGGTGAGAGCTCACTGAGTTGTGAAGAAAGTCTTTAGCCCAAGGCTAGATGAAATCACAATGTAGTGGATCTTTGAAGGAATGTGAGGAACAGACATCTATTCTGTGTGGAAAGAGCCAGCTCAATTAACACCACCTACTTTTTTTTTTTTTTTTCATTTCTCTTTTTTTGAAACAGGAACTCAAATTTAAGATCCCCTGACCTCAACCTCCAGCAAGCCAGGAGCGAGACGTGTTCTACCAAGCTACGTGCTAACAGGCCCACTTCTAAAGCTCCCAGCAGAGTGCGTGGCCCTCGGAGAAGCTGTCTCCTTCAGCTCCCACCCATACCAGTCAATGTCAAATCTGCAGCTGGCAGACGCCAAGGAGATGAGAGAGGGGAGGAGAGAGGTGACAGGACCCAAAGCAGTGGCCTGGAAAAGGGACCCTCGGAGAGTCTTCAGAGGCGACCACTGGACCAGCCGAAGACAAGGGCTCCCCAAAGCAGCAGGCCCCCAAAGGAAACCCAGAAACGTACAGAGGCTCTTTTGCAGGGTCACACAGAGAGAAAGACAATGCTGGCACTCGGGGAAAGAGGGTCTGGGTGGCCAGCCCATGCCTCCCACTGGAGGACTGGCCCATGAAAAAACTCTGCATGCCAAGGGCCTGTCCTCTGGCCTGCCCAGGCATGGAAAAAGACCACTGGGCATGGAGAGGTAGAAAATCTATCTAGAATTCTCCAGCGTGTCATCTTATCTCCACTGCGCACACGGGCAGAGCTGGGATTCACTGGGGTCACAGTGCACTGGAATGCCTCCACTGGCTTTCACCAGAACTCTGGTCAGTCTTTGCTCACCTGTTCAGAAACTCACTCACTGAGAGTTCAGTGCCTGACCCTGGCCCCATGGCCTATATCACCCTGGGCAGGTCACTTACCTCCATGTCCTCATCCTAAGCCAGAGATGGAAACTCCCCTGATGTATGTGCCTTAATAATGACAAAATGAGCCACTGCATGTGGACCCCCCACAGGTAGACATTCCATACATGTTGGCCAGGAGCATTACTATGACAGGGGACCCGGACTGAAATGCCGGCTTTTCCACTGTCACCCTGGTCACACATGGGCATCTCTAGGGACTTCCTAGCTATGTGTTGCACTCTGGGGGAGACATGAGGCAGAGGCCTGGCTTTTCCACCACCCTTCTGGTCTTGGAAAGCTAATCACCCACCACATGAGGGGAGAAAACAATGGAAAGGGCATCAGATCTTGAGGGTGTTACAGATGCTAAATGATGCAGGGAGGGGACTAATCCTATGAGGGGTACAACCAGGAAGGAGAAGGCTGCAGGGTCCTGATAAGAAATCCCAAAGCCCACCCTGCACTGATTGGGAACAGAAAACAGATCCTATCCTGTACTGACTGGGAATAGCCTCTCTCTGAGACAGAGTCCACTGGTGCCCATTGTACTAAACGCTGCTCCCTGAGACACAGAACCCATCAGCACCAAGTGGACCAAGAGACCAGATTAGACCAAGAGCTCGCATTAGACCAAGAGTATCAATTGACCAAAAGAGGCTCCCTCAGACACAGACAGCACGTACATGGAGTGGAGGAAGAGATGGGTAGACACCAGTGCAAAAATACAGTCAACAACATAAAGACCAATACGGCTCCATCAGAACCTAGTGGTGCCACATCAGTAAGACCTGAACATCCAAAGCAGAAGAAATAGACCTTAAAAATGACCTGAAGAAGATGATAGAAGCCTTTAAAGAGAAAATGAAAAAAAATACCCTTAAATAATTCGAAGAAAAGACAAACAAAACATTGAAAGAAACCAATAAATGTCTTAAAGAAAACCAAGAAATAGCAATTAAACAGGTGAATGAAAAAGTCCAAGATTTGAAAACTGAAATAGAGGCAAGAAATAAAACACAAACTGAGGGAAGGCTGGAAATGGAAAATCTGAGTAAAGGAACAGGAACTACAGATGCAAGCATAACCAACAGAATGCAAGAGATGGAAGAAAGAATCTCTGGCGTTGAAGATACAATAGAGGAAATAGATTCGTCAGTCAAAGAAAACACTAAAGCCAAAAAAGTCATAACACAAAATGTCCAGGAAATTTGGGACACCATGAAAAGACTAAACCTAAGAATAATAGGAATGAAGGAGAAGAACACCAACTCAAAGGCACAGAAAATATATTCAACAAAATCATAGAAGAAAACTTTCCCAACTTAAAGAAGGAAATGCCAGCCGGGCATAGTGGCGCACACCTGCAATCCCAGCACTTGGGAGGCAAAGGCAGGTGGATCTCTGTGAGTTCGAGGCTAGCCTGGTCTACAGAGCTAGTCCAGGACAGGCTCTAAAGCTACAGAGAAACCCTGTCTCTAACCCCTCCCCCCCAAAAAAGAAGGAAATGCCTATGAAAGTATAAGAAGCTTACAGAACACCAAAAAGACTGGATCAAAAAAAAGACCCCCTCGCCACATAATAATCAAACCACTAAACATACAGAATAAAGAAAAAATAGTAAGAGCTGCAAAGGAAAAAGGCCAAGTAACATATAAAGGCAGACCCATCAGAATAACACCTGACTTCTCAATGGAGACTCTAAAAGTCAAAAGTTCCTGGACAGATGTTATGCAGACACTAAGAGACCATAGATTCCAACCCAAACTATTATATCCAGCAAAACTCTCAATCACCATAGATGGAATAAAAAAAATATTCCATGATAAAACCAGATTTAAACAATATCTCTCCACAAATCCAGCCCTACAGAAAGCAATAGAAGGAAAAATCCAACCTAAGGAAGTTAGATATACACCCATGAAAATACAGGTAATAGATAATCCCACACAAACAAATACCAAAGAAGAGAAACACACAACACTACCAACAAAAAATAACAGGAATTGACAACCACTGGTCATTAATATCCATTAATATCAATGGTCTCAATTTGCCTATAAAAAGAAACAGGCTTACAGAATGGATACGAAAGCAGGATCCATCCTTCTGCTGCATACAAGAAACACACCTCAACTTTAAAGACAGACACAACCTCAGAGTAAAAGGCAGGGAAAAGATTTCCCATCAAACAGACTTAAGAAGTAAGCTGGTGTAGCTATCCTAATATCTAATAAAATAGACTTCAAACTAAAATCAATCAAAAGAGATCAGGAAGGACATTACATACTTATCACAGGGAAAATCCACCAAGATGAAGTCTCAATTCTGAACATTTATGCCCCAAATACAAGGGCACTCACATTTGTAAAAAAATAAAAAATAAAAAATAAAAAATTACTAAAGCTCAAATCGCACATCAAACCCCACACACTAGTAATGGGAGATTTCAACACCCCACTCTCACCACTAGATAGATTTGCCAGACTGAAAGTTAACAGAGAAATAAGGGAACTAACAGAGGTTATAACTCAAATGGACTTAATAGATATCTACAGAACATTCCACCCTAACACAAAAGAATATACCTTCTTCTCAGCACCCCATGGAACCTTCTCTAAAATTGATTACATGCTCGGTCACAAAGCAAATCTCAACAGATACAAAAAAATTGGAATAACCTCCTGTGTTTTATCGGACCACCATGGCTTAAAGTTAGATTTCAACAACAACAAAAGTTACAGAAAGCCTACAGTCTCATGGAAACTGAACAATGCCCAAATGAATCACCAATGGGTCAAGGAAGAAATAAACAAAGAAAGATTTCCTAGAATTCAATAAAAATGAAAGTACAACGTACCTAAACTTATGGAACACTATGAAAGCAGTACTAAGAGGAAAATTCATAGCACTAAATACCCACATAAAGAAGATGGAGAAATCTCACACTAGTGACTTAATAACACACCTGAAAGCTCTAGAACAAAAAAATGCCAAGAAATAATCAAATTGAGGGCTGAAAACAATGAAATAGAAACAAAGAGAACAATACAAAGAATCAATGAAACAAAGAGTTGGTTCTTTGAGAAAATCAATAGGATAGATAAGCCCTTATCCAAATTAACCACATTAACCAAAAGGCAGTGAAAGAATATCCAAATTAACAACATCAGAAATGAAAAAGGAGACATAACAACAGACAATGAGGAAATCCAGAGAATCATCAGGTCATACTTCAGAAACCTATACTCCACAAAATTGAAAAATCTGAAAGAAATGGTATGGTAATATTTTAATTGTGTTGAAATGTGATTTTATTTGTATGTTAATAAATAAAGTTTGACTGGAGATCAGAGGTCATATCGAGCCATAAAACAGAAGTCAGGTGGTGGTAGCACACGCCCTAATCCAATCACATGGCAGACAGAGTCTCTGTGTGGTCAAGGACACAGCCAAGAGTGGTGACACACGCCTTTAATCCCAGGACCAACCATAGAGACCTGGAGGTCTGTAAAGACAGGCAGTGATGAGGAAATGAGGTGGCTGTTCTTAGAGCCAATGAGAAGGCAGAACAGGAAGGCAATAAAAGCACAGTTTAGACAGGAAGAAGCTCTCTCTGGGAAAGCTACAGCGTGGTGGTAAGTAAAGGCTAGTCGTGGTTACTTGCTATTTCTCTGATCTCTTCAGCTATTACCTCTGTATTGGGCTATGTGTTTCTTATTTACTAAGACTGTTTAGAAATTCATCTACAAAATGGACAATTTTCTAGGTAGGTACCACATATCAAAGTTAAATCAAGACCAGATAAACTATTTAAATAGGCTAAT